TAACTTAAGCTTTTGGGTTGAATTAATTCTTTACGAATACAATTTGCATATTTACAAAGGAAAATATTACTCTCCTTTCACGTAACATAATTTTTTCATATTCTTTCGCTACGATTTTCGCACCTCCATTTATAACTATTAGTATTTTTATTAAAAGGAGAGTAATAAAGCACACTTACAAATCGTAGTTGAAAAAAAGAGAGAGTAGTTAATTAGTAATAATGTAATATATTATGGAGTAAAGTGTTTGTAAAGATAGATTGCTCTATAGATAGATACGAGTTACGAACTAGAAATTGGATTAGGATCAAAATCATAGACTGTCCCGAGAAACACACAAGAAGCGGTGTTCCATGCAAACCTCTTCCCTTAACAAACTGAAATTGTCTCTGTCTGTCTCTTTCTCCCTATATTGGGTGTCAATGTCATTGATTCCGCAATGGAATCGGTGACAAGCACAAAACCAGACACCGTGATCCTCTGGTGATGCTGATTAGTTCCTTCATAACATAACATAGTCAATTCCACATTCAAAATCATTGCTTTTTGCTTTGTTCGTTACCCTTGCTGTTGGTGACTTTCTGGGTTCCTTCCATAATGGTATAGAGAGAGACAGAGAGACAAAGAGAGAGTTTGGAGGAAGAGAGAGAGAGAGGGAGGCAGAGACATACTGAAAGGGGGTCCTACTCTGCTTAATTTTTGAGGGGCATCAACAGTCCCTGTCAATGATTTTTACTTGGGTGGTGTTTGTGCCTCTCTCACTCTCAATGACCCATCCAATCAGTATCAGTATCACACTTGCTTCTTGTTGGGGAATTTGATCAATAAACCAAAACTCTCCCTCTCCTCCTTTGTTTCTTTTACCCCTTCTCTATCCTTTGTCTCTGGGCCTTTTTCATCACAAGGAGGATTTCGAATTGATTCATAGGAGGTGGCTCAAAAGTGGATCTCAGTCATATGAAGAGACTCTCAACTGTGAGTTTGTTTGATTATTGCTTTTGATTCCCAACCTTCTCCCCTCAGAGGTCCCAATCCACTGTTACTTTTTGTTTCCACTGTTAAGCTTAGTAGTGGGCGGAGTAAGATCTAAAAGCAAGATTTTTTAAACAGATCAAGAACACCATGTCTACCTTATATAGTATAATTTAATTTGTTTTACTTGTTAGCACTCATGCTTAAAGAAGTGGTAAAGGAGAACTGATTGGTGATTGGTTTAAAACCTCTTCTTGTTTTATTAACTGTTTGCCGAAATGTTGCTGATCTGAGTGGATTTTTATGGATTTTTAACTCGTCATTTGAAATACTTCAATCAATCGTCTATAGCTCTGTAATTTCATACATTAATGGTTGTTAATTTGATCAACATATCTTCCTTTTACCTTAAGGTCCTGCTCTTGTTGGAGTTGAAGAAGCATGTGAACTGCAGTTCATGGTTTTATAAAAATTGATAATAGTTCCACAATGAGGAAGCTTCTAACTGATGTTGACATGTTTCTCTTGCAGCTGGTGAATGTGTTTCTGGTACTTGCATTGTTCAGTTGTAGGCCATGGACAGTATGGAGCAGCTCACGCTGCAAACAGATAAACTTGGAGGTAGTTCGACCTCATAGTGTCAGTATTACCGAATTTGGAGCAGTAGGCGATGGAATCACTCTCAATACAAAGGCATTTCAGAATGCCATCTTCTACCTAAATTCATTTGCAGACAAAGGTGGAGCCAAGCTGTTTGTCCCAGCTGGCCAGTGGTTAACTGGAAGTTTTGATCTTATCAGCCATCTAACTTTATGGTTGGACAAGGATGCAGTAATTCTTGGATCATTGGTAAGCAACTCATTGTAAACAATATGGTTAAATGCAAGGAAAAGGATGTATAGTACAGTTGCTAAATGTGTTTGCTTTGCTGGCTTGTCTGCAATGTGGTTATTACATACTAGGTAGAAGCTCACTTTCAGCATAGATATGATGTTCCTAAACTATATATGTTTCTTATGCATATTAAATTTGTGGCAGTGTTTTATTATAGTTAATTAATAATTAATAGGTACTTTCGGAGCTACATATATGTGTGTTAATTTACTGTGCAATGATTATTTTTTGTTGGGCTTAAGCAATCTACATAAGTTATGTTTGTATTTTATACACTGGCTGAAGTCCAATAAACTTGGTAGTTTAATTTGTTCAGACCTTGTGGTCTCAATTATGATATGTAGCATGTGAAACAATGACATATCATGCTTGTTACAGAACTCTGAAGATTGGCCAGTTGTGGATCCTCTACCATCATATGGTCGAGGAAGGGAGTTGCCAGGGGGAAGGCATAAAAGCCTCATTTATGGGCGCAATTTGACTGATGTCATCATAACAGGTTGGTAGTATTCAACAAAGAATTATCTTCTATACATATATTTGGATTTATTGATGTCTTTGGTGTCCCAATGAAGGTAATAATGGAACTATAGATGGTCAAGGGAGTATCTGGTGGAACAAGTTTCAGAACAAAACACTGGATTATACACGCCCCCATTTGGTTGAGTTGATGAATTCAACCGAGGTTCTGATTTCAAATTTAACCTTCTTGAATTCACCATTTTGGACCATTCACCCTGTATATTGCAGGTTTGTTCCCTTCAGAAGGATTGAATTTATATTTTCTTCCTTATTTTCTGAACTTCATGCACTTTCATTACCATTTTAAAACTGTGCAATAGTGAAGCTTTCATGATTAGGGGGAGATTTGAGACTGTTTTTCTGGATGAACAGCCATGTTACAGTTCAGAATGTCACAATCCTTGCTCCTCTTAGTTCACCAAATACAGATGGGATTGATCCAGGTGAGTTTTCTCTCCTTGGCCGGAAAATCATACCCTGTATTATTGACAATGCACAAGTATTCTATATTGATTTCCAAAAGCCCAAAGTTTAATCCAGTTTTGGTGCAATATCAAGTTCTTGTAATAAATTGTTTGAAAGGGAATTTTTTATTTGGACCCAAAGAAGACAGATTTTCTATATGTGGTGCAGTATATTCATAATATTGTCTTAGTTAAAAGCAATGTATCTCCTAGAGTAGTTAGATTTTACATGTCCGGATTAACTTCTCTGCCTTCCAGTTGACACTTAAAACTGTGGGAATGTCTTACCAATTTTCTTTCAAAAGACTTATCAGATTCTCATATATACCTTTTCTATATATCTGGTGCAGTATATTCATAATATTGTCTTAGTTAAAAGCAATGTATCTCCTAGAGTAGTTAGATTTTACATGTCCGGATTAACTTCTCTGCCTTCCAGTTGACACTTAAAACTGTGCGAATGTCTTACCAACTTTCTTTCAAAAGACTCATCAGATTCTCATATATACCTTTTAATTGTGTTCAGATTCTTCAAACAATGTATGCATTGAAGACTGTTATATAAGCACTGGTGATGATCTGATTTCCATCAAAAGTGGGTGGGACGGATATGGCATTTCATTTGGTCGACCCAGTACAAACATAATCATCCACAGACTCATCGGAAAAACGACGAGTGCGGGGATTGCTATTGGAAGTGAGATGTCTGGAGGTGTATCAGAAGTTCATGCAGAAGATATTTACATTTTTGATTCACATAGCGCTATCAGAATTAAGACTTCTCCTGGCAGGGGTGGTTATGTTAGAAATGTCTATATCTCTAACATGACCTTGGCTAATGTAGATATTGCTATTAGGTTCACTGGTTTATATGGGGAACATCCAGATGACACTTATGACCCAGATGCTCTACCTGTAATAGAAAAGATCACTATTAAGGATGTGATAGGGGAAAAAGTCAAACGTGCGGGCCTTATACAGGGTATAAAAGGTGACAACTTTGTCAATATCTGCCTATCAAACATTACTCTTAATGTCAGCTCAAAATTTCCATGGAACTGCTCTTACGTTAAAGGATACTCTGACTTGGTTTCACCGGAAGCTTGTGAGCCTCTCAGAGAGAGAATATTCCCAGAGCATTGTTCAGATTGTTACTATTTACCAAATCACTTAAAGAGTTCGAGTAATCGAAACAGCTATGCTTGGTTGCAGTCTTGGTAAATTGTGGATGCTACCAGAGTTTACTAATAGCTGAAATTTGATTGGTAAGATTTTTCAGAGATGATTGTTTTTCATGACTTGTGTGCAATAACAAATAATTGAATGATTTATTATAAATGAATTTGAATGATTTCATGTATTGTTTTTCTTGCTACATTTGGTTTTGGGAAAGAAAAATGAAAACTTTATTTCCATAGATTCAAAACTAATTTCTTTCTTTTTACGGATATTAGATATGCAGCAGAACTTGAGGCAATAGCTTCTTGACTTTCCCCTGGAATTAGCATCTCTTGATTGAAATATGAATTCAATAACCTAACCTTCACCTTCCAGGAAGGAGGAATTAATCAATCTCAAGCCTCTTTTACACTGAAAGCATGTCAGCAAAATTATTGTTGGTTTGTTTTCATTTTTAATTTGAGTGAGTCAAATTATCTCAGGATCTTGTCTTGCTGAGAAGAAAAATGAGTAAATTAAAAGCTTAGTTTAAAATAACTTTGCCTTTATAATGATAATAACCACATGTGGAAAAACAATAATAATAATAACAATGGATAGGTGGAAAAATAGCATGATTGTATTGCCTTTATATGAAAATTAACACATCGAAAGGGCCATACTTACAGGTGTCATGTATAAGTTAAACAGAAATCCATGTTACATAGAAATTGACTAATAATAATAACAATGGATAGGTGGAAAAATAGCATGATTGTATTGCCTTTATATGAAAATTAACACATCGAAAGGGCCATACTTACAGGTGTCATGTATAAGTTAAACAGAAATCCATGTTACATAGAAATTGACCATCCCATGTATAAATTATGAGGAATCATATTACATAGAAAATGGATATGGAGAATGGAACATATCAACAAATATTTCTCTCTAAGGTTGAGAATCTCAACTTTCAAAGTACAATGCCTATCTTGGGGATGGTTCACTTCCATCTTTGCTGATAACTGAACATAGAACCTGCCTTGAAATATGTGTTTCAAGCTCCCTGGACACACCTGTTAACTTCAAGTCAAAACTGCTTCTATACTTGTGTTGTGGAGATGGCAATATGCTGCTAGAGAACACCGTTGGTGAGCCAGCAGAAAATCTCCTTCTTGGGCTTGAAAACCTTCCCGGTGATCCAGGATGTCTCCCTTTTGCAATAAAAGTTGTTGAGCCAAATTCTTCATTGTCCATATTGCTATCCGCATTCATCGATGGTCCACATTTCGTCTCAAGGGGAAGAGGTTTTAATGAATTATGTTCCCCCGTTGGCTTTTCTTTCAGAAGCCTTTCCCTGGCCTTCTCAGCTGCCAGTAGGGCTTTCTCTCTGGTCAGCTTTATGAGTTTCCATGGGTTAATGCTTACGTAGAACTTCTTTGTCTTGATCAAGGGGGAAGGCTCAGTTTCCCCCTCAATCCTGATAGACAACCTAGGTGAACTCTGAAACTCAAAACCAAAATGCCCTGTAAGGTGCGAGTCAGAATTACGGCATAAAAAGATGCAGTCCATCTAATTCATACCTGGTTTACCCTCTGCCCTTTGCACAGAAACTTTGACATTAGTGTTGGCTTTTCAGGTGAGTCAAAATCAATGCTATCATCAGAAGAAAAATCAGAATCATCAAATGATTCCAATTCCATGGCTTGGTTCTCTTCTTTCATTGCCAGGATATAGTCATAGGTTCTCATCCCCTGCATCAATAACAAACACAATTCAGTGCAATGAACGTTCCAGTAAAAGAATAACACCAAACAATATACATGATAGCCAGAAATTGAAGGCTAGAGCACTGTGGTAAAATGATTACCAAGCAATGTAATTATCTTCTAACACTTTGGCAAACTGATTATTACCGCGTGTACTAGTCTTAAATATTAAAGCATAGTAGTATTATAATAGTTGATAGTTTAAAATCAGGAAAGAAAACTACCTTTCGTATCAGGACCACATGAAAGAAGAAAAGCTGCCCCAGTGCTGCTGAACTATAAGCTGTCAATAAGAGAAGCAACACCTGAAGCATTCCAGGAAGTTCAACCCAAATCAAAAGTGATGATGAATCCAAAATTCAAGTCTGGCACAGAATACAACGATACCCAAAAACAATTCAAAAAACTATTACACATATGGTGGCAAGAACTCCTCTTGGAAACTCTACATAAAGCTTCCTCTGAAGCTCTTTTTCTATTCCTCTTTTATCCGCAAAGCACCTGATAAATATAGCAATTGCAGCCCCTCCTTCAATGATAAGCTGTACACATGACAAAAATGTAGGAAAAGATTCAACTAACCCAATTGAAACATTTTCTTTTATTGTGGTCAGAAATTGAAAGAGACTATAATACCGAGGAGAGGACTAACCATTAACATGACCGAAATCATCAGAAGAAAGAATGTTGAGTAGTTTCTTTTCCCAATACAGTTATTCAACCACTGGAAACAAAGGAAAGCAATTATATCTCAATAATCAAAGAGGAGAAAGAATTTACAAATGCCAGAACAAAAAAAGATTAGGCTAATAATAAATACTAACCCTGCAATGATGATCAAACCCTTCAACGCAGCGATTGCAGGTCCTGCAGTGCTTACTGTGCTTCTTCACCTGATTCAAATAAGAGCAAAATAGTATGATTTAACAGCACACTCTTAAACTCATGAGAAGCTCTCAAAGTTATAAAAGAACCTCAAAATCACAAAGTGCACAAAACGAGATGTCATCCTCTTTGAGATCGGGGACAATGGCATCATCATCATCTTTCATGACAAGGGGGAATGGAAGCAAAGGCTCCATTTGGACACTTGTCTTCCACGGATCCAAGTACTTCCTCTTAATGAAAGTCCTAAGCATCTTCCTTTCAACCCTCCTAAAGAACCTCATCACAATCTGACCAAGAATGAAACCGTAGTTCAGCTTCGGAATCGCGTTCGATTTGGCTCTTTTCTTCTTCCTGAAGCTGGTTCTGTCTGTGGGGTCAATCGCCGTACACCTTACGAACAGAAATATAACCGAGATTGCCTGTGCAAAACAGAAAGTTATAAACAAAACAAAGTTATGATTTTTTTTTTTACTTTTTTTTTTTAAAAAAAAAAAAGACCAAAATTTGAGTTGAGATTGAATGTGGAAAGTAGAAATTACCACAAGGGAAAACATGAGGGTGAATGTTATCTCGGCAATTCGGTTTCCGAGGAAAAGTCCCAGGAAAGTGTAGAAACACACCACCAGAAAACTGTAAACTGCCATGCCCACAAACTGCCAGATTTCACAATCACAAGTTAAAAGAACTCAAGTCCACCATTCGAAACATTCAGTCAAAATACACATGCAATAAGATATGCTTAATTTTTATTTTTATTTTAGGAAAATAATGAATGAAAGTGAAATATGGGGGAAATAAATAATTAAAAAGAAAAAGAAAAAAAAAGGGTAGGTACCTGTAAAGGGTGAAGAGGACGTTGCCATCCATGGCGTCTCATGGTATATGAAATGTGTTTTTGAGCTTAGAGGTATTAGAATTTAGAATAGCTTCTTTTTTCAAAGCTTTGCTATTGCTCCTTCCTCAACGGTCGATTCTCTCTTACTGGGAGGGGCTGAGTCTAGTCTTAGTTTTCAAAATTGAACTGAGCGGCGCTCGATCCCAATCAACGGGTTAGATCTGCCTTTTTTTCCTTCATCCAACGGATACCAGCAATTGTAGCTTAAAAGACTAAGTTTGTGGGACCCTTCAAATTCAATTGAAGGATCAGGTGGAAGCAGGCTGCATCGTCATGGGCTGGACTCTTGACTTCATTTTCAGCAAAATAAGCATGGCTTTAATTCTTTCCGAGTTTCAATGTTCTTGATGAAGGAATGAAGTTACTAGTTTTTAATAAACTGTACTTTGGAAATGACTAGTTCCTAGTACTAATAGTTCTTTATTCTCTTTTATTATTTGTTCTCGTTTTTCTGGTTTAAGATACTTCGTAGTTTTGTGCTTTGGTTTATTTCTTCTCGTTCATATTTGGTGATGTGGCGAATAAATTTACATTACTATTATTCTATTAATAATATACGATTTCCTAAGTTTTTTAATACAAATTAATTAAAGAAATTATTTAAAATTAAATTTTTTAAACTTTAATTATATAAATAAATACGGGCGAATTGGTCAGTCCAAATAATCTACAATTCGTGTAGTCGGATTAAATCAAAACTTTACCGGCTCAAACTATTCTACATTGGGTTCAGTTCGTATTAGTCCAACATAAATGGGCTTAATGGGCTGGACAGATTCAAATTGACTCTCTAATCGCTTACTCACTTTCCTTTGTCTTATCTCCCACTATGTCAAGTGTCACCATCACAGTAAGCTCCATGCCCAAATATTTCATTATATTTTAGACACAAAATATTTAAAACTAGTTATCAAAAAATAATTAAAAATAAGTAATTTTTCTTTAGTTACTCCCCTAGAAAATGAGCCATGTGAATACTACTATGTCATCGGAAATTTATGAGGGCCTTGTATTGAGTAACCGGCAATTTGCGGCAAAAAACTAATTTCGACAAGGCTTTTGTGATTTCTTATATCTGGCCCAAAAACTTGTTGAAAATTATAATTTATGACAGGTTTTCACTAAGACGCCTGATAATGATCTCTTAACTGTCACGCGGATTCAGGGAGCCAGTGTCAGGAGATTACCACCAATGAACTAAGGCTAGACCAACTATGCCATGTGGATCCAACACATTATAACCCAAAACCTTAAGGCTTTCGGTTAATGGGTCCTCTCACATATATCAACTTCACTTAACCCATTACCAACCGATGTGAAACTCATCACACTTGAATAACTTAATAATCTCCCCCTCAAGTGTGAAGTCCACCATTGGTATGCTTCTCTCCAATCTAGTACCCAGACTCAAAGTACTCAACCCGACTCTAGCCAATCAACACGCTAGCCCAAGCTCAACTCGACTTTGACACCATTGTCAAGCTGGTCTAGGGGAGCCCGTGGCGGGGGACTACCACCAATGGACTAATGCTAGACCAACTACACTAAGTGGATCCGACACCATGTTACAATCCAAATCCTCCTACTTATATCCACTTCACTTAGTTCATTACCAACTAATGTGAGAATCATCACACTTAAATAACCCAACATTAACCACCTCCAAATGTGACATCTTATTCACTAGAGTGACAATACCCCAATCCATCATTTATAGTCTTATATATGTTGATAGGGGAAGTTTATTCTTACATCAGTATAAGAATAAGAAATCTTATACTAGATCTTGGCAATTAATTTACTTGCATCTAATGTTTCACACATCTAATGAATTAGAATCATTCGATATAAAGATTCAACTGCTAATATTGAAAGCGTAATTTATACTAATGTAAAAGCTTAAGTACACCATTGTAAATCATCCATTTACTAAATTTAACAAATATAGAATAAAAGCCTAATCAAACATGTCAAAGAATTGGAATATGCCTACTCTTATATATATATATATATATATAGGGAGGGTTCTTTTGACTCCAGAGTAAGATTTTTAAGTCTTACTCCTCATCTTAGCCGTTGATTGACGGAAATCAATGGTTGTCATTTGTAAAGTAATTAATAATTAATTAATTAATATGACTTCCTAAATTATAACTGTTGGATGAACGGAAATCAAGGACTGAGATGAAGAGTAAGACTTATAAGTCTTACTCTGGAGTCAAATGATCCTTTCCTTATATACATACATACATATATATATATACATACATATATATATATATATATATATAAAGTCTGGTGTTTGTCAATTGAAATGATATAAATTATGTCATTTTAAGAGAGAGATAGACACAAGAAAATATTTTTTATTTAAAATTTAAATTAAAAAAAAACCACCCACTTTCTCTCCCGTGATTTTCATTCCTTGTGTCTATCTCTCTCTTAAAATGACATAACTTATATCCTTTAAAATGACAAACACCAGACCTTATATATATATATATATATATATATATATATATATATATATATAGAGACAAGATCATTTGACACCGATATCAAACAAAATATTTGACACCTCATATGAGAGTGATTGATTTTGCCTTGATTTAACGACTCTGGTTTTTAATAGTGGCGAACCCAGAATTTTTTATAATAGCGGGCAAAAATAAAATTTTATTAAGTATTATTATGACTAATATGAGATACAAACTATTATAAATTTTTTTGAGGGAGGAGCTAACTATTAGTATTAATAGCCTATTATTATTAAGGGAAATATTAGCCTCATGTGATAGGAGACAATAAGTCTCTCCTACACACTCAAAAAGATGTGGGACCCACTTCAAACTCTTTTTTCTCTTTTTCTGTGCAATGGGACCCACATAAGTCTGTGGGTGTAACATGAGATATCTTATCTCATGTTGCATAAGAAAATATAATCGCTATTATTAAATATACATAAAATAATAAAAAATTAAAATTCAAGGAGGGGTGGCTGCCAGTACTAGTCCCTCCGTCGGTCTGCCTCTGTTTATAAGCATGTAATATTGTTGATATGCCTTGATTTAACGACCTCAGATGAGGTGTCAAATTAAAAGATTGACACTTGGGTCAAATGATCATAGGCATAATATAAGTATAAAGGAAAAAAAAACGTTTATACTTTTAAGGATATAACTTTGTGTTATTTTAAATGAAACAATATCGTTTTGGTGCATAATTAGTGATTTTTTATATTCTTTCTCTTTCTAATTTTATGGAGGAGGGAAAATATAAAAAATAACCAATTATAAATAGCATAAATTACAACAAGTCCGACAGTTTGCAAGACAAAGATCTGGATCCTCTTATGTGAAAAAAAAACATGACATGGTCATATGGAGAATCATAACTATATAAATGTGGGATAAAAGGTAATAAAAAAAGAGAGAAAAAAAATATTAAGATAAGTAGTTATAAAATCATTACCATTTATTTATTTTTGTATGGTTATGATCTTCCTATACGATCATATCATATTTTTTTTTTCACACCATTTTCTGTACATAGAAATACATATATATAGTGAAATATACTTGCCCAAAATTCTGATTCTAGCTAGTTGGTGACTTGGTATGCAGTACAAGATTGCGGAAGTTGTGTGGACCCATTGTTGCTAATATTATTATTTCCATCACTGCCTGATCTTGGTTCACCAATAATTGATGAGATCGCAGCTGTCACCGCTGCAGTGAAGTTTGGATCCGAAGCAATGGCTGCACTCAATGTCTCCAACCTAGTCAAAGGTTGTCGTTGCCCATTTTGAACTAGAGGCACACCTCCAAGTGGCAGCTTTTGGGGGAACATAACGGGGTGCCCTATTAACTCAGAAAAAGCAGTTCCATGCAATGGCAATGGTGGAGGGAATGTAACCCCAGAGGAAGGCTCTCGAAATAGCTGCATGGGGTTGGAGATTTGGGTCATGTCGAGGGTGATAGTGGGGAATGGTGCAGAAGCTGACAGGGTTGCCATTGAGACATAAGGTATTGAAGAGAAATATCCTGCTGAGTTTATTAGTGCTTCCTTGCTCGTTGTTGAACCTGAACCACATAAGAGCATCGCTGCAGCTGCTGATGTAGAATTCGCCATGGCAGTCGCTGCTGGTGGGAGAGGATGGTTATGATTTCCTTCGTAAGTTGTTATCAACACTGTCTTGTCATCTGCGCATCTTTGCACCTGTATAACCAAATATATACCATTATGTTACAAGATGGAAAGAAAAAAAAAACTAACCAAAAAGAAAACCTTGAAGGAAAATCATCAAATTAAAATTAAATCAAATTGAAAACAAAACTAATCATCTCTCCCAACTGCTTCTGGTTTTTTCATTATCTCTCTAATGGGTGGATATTGACCCATTTTTTAGTTTTATTTGGCTTATATTTGACTATTAATTTCATTAGAAAGCGGAACGCGACAACTTAGTCACATAAGTTTTCATTCCATATAAAGTAATAAGTTGCGGGCTTTGATAATTTTATATTATATTTTTCTAATAAAAACTAATTATTTACCTGCTTACGAACTGGGCATCCTAGAGCCATAGTGCAACGATAATAGGCACGAGGGCAAGGGTTATCCTTGGCCATTTTTTGTCCATATTTCCTCCATTGACACCCATCGCTAATCTGAAAGCACGGATTGTGTATGTATTAGATAAAAGTTGGATAATATTGAGAAATGAAATTGAATTAGCCTTAATTAGCTAGCCATATATCGAATTGAAGAATATGAAATACAGAAATAGTATAAATTTTATGCATAAAATGAAATTAAATTACCTGAGGAGCTTCTGATCTTGCACGCACGGAAACCCTGGCTTTTCTTAAAGGAAGCTCGCCAGTTTTGGATTCTTCTAACTTGGGACTCTTAGATGATCCCCAACTCATTGAGGATGACCCGTCAAGAACATCTCCTTCATCAGGAGTAGGACAAGCATTGAGTTGCTTTCCAATTTTGAGTTTAGTCAAATGATGGTCACGATGCTTTGTTATAATTGGCTCAGCATTGTTTGAGGGAGAAACCAAAGTCTCTTGATCAGTCTTATCATCAGAAACCGATGCGACATTGACGTCTAATTCGGTGCATGGCAGCGGGTCAAGAAATCGCTGCGGCGACATCATCTTATTTGTCACCACCTTCTGTTCGATATATATATATATATCACATCAGCACTTTGAATTTTAACTTCTTGTATACAAAAAAGTTATAAATGTAACGTGACCCATATATATGTATGTAAATTTTGACTTAGCATCTTATCCACTGAGCCATGGATTACTTATTCTGTGGAAAGGCAATTCTGTGGCCTGTGCTTTAACACCATAGTATTAATTATCTCAAACAAATCACAATGTTAATGTGGGTATTTTCAAACACTAATTCTACTTATAAACTATATATTTTTGTAGGGAAAGAATTCGTTTATAAATTGTTTTTATAAATTTTTGTAAATTACATTATATACTCTCAAAAGTACATAGTGTAATCTAATATATTTTTGAAAATACATAATATAATTTATAAAAATTTATAAATAAAAAATTGATAAATATAACCCTCCCTATTTTTGTAATATCATTCAGAAAAAATATATTGAATGAAGAGATCACGCTTTACTAGCATTCATGGTGGATATGGCTGTTGTTGGAGGACAACGCCATTACGGTCAAGGTTCAAATGTTGGTAGAGTAAAAAAAAAAAAAAAAAAAAAAAAAAAAAAAAAAAAAAAAAAAAAAAAAAAAAATCACGCATTCTGATTTAATTGAGGCACACTTTCCCATTTCTTTACCTATTAAAAAGGGGAGTGAGGAAGGAGGAAACAATAATAACATGAATTAAAACAACAATCTTTATTTGGATTGATAAAATTAATGAAAATATCAATTTTTTATTCCATTGCGAGGACTGAGGATCTTTTAATAAGATGAGGACTGAGGATCTTTTAATAAGATATGCATTATAGTGTTGAAGCATAAATATAGTGTCTGAATTAGATTATTTTAAAGTTAGTAAATCTTTTAATAAATTTTTTTTTTCTGAAAGAGCATAATAAAAAATGTGACTGTTAACAAACCCACCTGACAAGACTTTTGTTTCTGCAAGGCCATGAACAATTGTAGTTGGTTATAGTCTTTGGTGGTTTCATCCAGCATAGTTCTCAACTTGCGATTCTCTTTTTGTTGTCTATGTAATTCCCTTTGAAGTGTACTCAGCTGAAAGAAATAATAATAATAATAATAATAAAAACATTTCCATTCTATATTATCAAAAAGATATCAAAACTTAGAGATTGATAGTTCTTAAAAGATATCAAAACTTAAATACGGGAATCTCTTATGAAGTGCATACAGACCTCAGTATTAGGATTTGCATTATTTGTTGACCTTGAAATTCCAGCACTGGCACACTTTAAATTCAGCGCCGTCTGTGTATACACAGCATAAAATAGAGATTGAGAAAAAAAATTATATTTAGAACAAGGGAAGTTATCATCTATTTTTTTTTTTATAATTTTTTACAAATTCAAAACTCAAAGTGCATAAATAAGGAGTCAAAACATTTAGCGGACAATTAAGTCCATGTTTTGTTTAATTTGATAACTCACGTTTACGAGGGGATCAGTGATAAGAGTTGCTGATCCATCTGAAGTGAACCCATGACGATGATGCTGAGCCTCTTGATCATGATGAACCTGCCGCTGGCTATTTTTGTTATTGGTATTATTAGTGTTATCATTATTGGGCGGTGAACCCGTTGAGAAGAAATCTACTTCTTTGATGGAAGGATCGCTGTCCTCGGCGGTGTTGTCGGTTGTCGGATCTAAATTCTGGCGGAGGAAGCCGGCAGAGCTTAAGAAGGTCAATTCACGGCGGTGTTGTTGCATTTGGTGGTGATTTTCCATATTTACTGATACAAAAAGAGAGAGAGAGAGAGAGAGTGAAAGAGAGTAGGAACAAAGAGGTGGTTTTGCTAATTAGGCTTTCAACGCAAAGGGTTTAAATGGGGGCTTTTGCTACTGCTCCTGCATCCTCCTTCGACCCTTGGAGCTTCATAGTTGAGACTTCAGAGATAGGTGTACCAGAATTAATAGATATATGAATATTTTTTTTTAAATAAAGTGATGTGAAAGATTTTAAGAGTGAGAGGAGATATTTATGTGTGCTTACACTATATTATTATAAAATCCGGATAATTTGTCATTTCTTTTTTTTTTTTGGTATCCAATTTGTCATTTGTCATTTCTACTATTATAAAGTATTTCCATTTTGCTATTTTTTTATTTTATATAATCACAAATATATAAAAGGAGTTTTATAAGAGTTATATTGTAGGAAAAGTGATGGTGTAATGTTATAGAGATTCGTTTTGTGTGCCGTAATTTTTTTTTTCTTCAAAAAGTGTGGGTCCCACAAAATGTTGTGTGTATAGGAAACTTTGTTATGTCATGTTAAATGACAAATGCAGACCCCATATATAAAGTCACAAACTCACAATAGTTAAGGGAAAAGTGTGTGTCATTTTAAATGATGTAAAGTTGTGTCATTTTAAGTGAGAAAAAGATAGATAAAGAAGGAGAGAGAGTGGACAAAAAAATATAAAAGTGTGGGTCCCATCTCTTTGTGACACTGAAAGGATATAAGTTGAGTCATTTAAAAGGATAAACACTTTTCCCATAGTTGAAAGAGTCTCCTAGTCGCAATACTGTTTCAGTGAGAGTGTTAAAGTAATATATTTATGGAAAAAATATTTCTGCAATTATTGTAGATAAATTATCTGTATTTATTCCCAAAACGATGTTGTTTTGGTATTGAAATCTTAAAAATTATAAATATAAAGACTATTATAACTCTGAAATAAATTAAAATTAAAAAACATCATAATTTTCGCCTCAAAACGATGTTATATTGGGCTTATTGCAAATAACTTATCTGCAGTAACTGCAGAAAAATTGAACCCTATATTTATATATAAAAATATTTATACGGTTACTTTAGATAACATTATCTACAATTATCTTTTTTTAATTAAGTCTGACCAATCATACATAATTATAACAATAAAGCTATTTTTTTCTCTCTCCTAAGACATTGTCGGCTGACGTGGCGGAGAGAAAAAATGCAATTTTTATGTATGACTAGTCAGACTTAGTTAAAAAGGGATAGCTGTAGATAACCTTATCTAAAGTGGCTGTAGAAATATTTACCCCATATATATATATGGCTTTAATGTTTCTAAAGGGAATGTAGATAAGTTATCTATATTCGCTCCCAAAACGACGTCGTTTTAGGTTGAAAAATTAAAAAATTATAATGAAAAAGACTATTATAACCCTGAAATAAATTATAATTACAAAAATACTTTGATTTCCGCATCAAAACGACGTCGTTTTTTGCTCAATGTAGATAAGTTATCTACATTGACCGTAAAAAAAGCGAACTATATATATATATATATATATATATATATAAAGGAAAAGTATTTCTCCAGTCACTGGAGATAAAGTTATCGAACTCAAAATGCGTCGTTTTGATTTATAAGATTAAAAGGTTATAATGATAAAGATTAATATAACCTGCAATATATTAGAATTACAAAAATACCTTGATTTCTGCCTCAAAACGACGTTGTTATGGGCTCATTGGAGATAACTTATTTCCATTGACCGAGAAAATCTCTACCCTATCTATATATATAATATGATAAAATTGCATAGAGTTTATTTTTGTTTCATATATTATGAGTAAAAAAATTTCACGCTATCATTTACTTAGGGGTTGATATTATTTTAATAAGTTTAGCAATATTAGCAATTATATAATATGTTAAACTTATTAAATGATATGATAATATAAATTATTAAATGTAAATATGATTATTTATAGCTAGAGTATATGAAATTAAATTAAATGATAAATATTAATTATTATATAAATACATCTTTCAATTACTCATCACCAAATTTCTTGCTCTACAGGTTAAAATTAATTGAAAACACTACTATGCATCAAAAAGAAAATTTTAAAACACTACTTGACCATTATCATATATGTTTTATCTTATTGAGAAAAAAAATTGATGGCAAAATAGTTATTCGTTAATATGCTACTTTTAGTTATGTGAATTTTTAAAGTTTTTTTTTTATTTTTATTCACACACTAATCAGTTGATATTAAAAACAATTTTTTCTAAAGTACTGAACTATTCTTATACAAAAAAAAAAAAAAAAAACAAAGTACTGAACTATTTGTGCTCCTTTTAACTTATAGGTTTTAAGCAAAGGCTTGCACGTGGGAACATCGTCTTAGTGGCACGGCGCTATCTAACATTAGTGAGTAACTAGAAGGAGGAGCGGGTCCTGCGGTTCTAAAAGAAACACCTAATCCCACTGACTTTCATCTTTGAAGCAATGAAGCTATGACCACGTTGATGTGATCATCCCTCCACGTCAACTACGGTTCCTCGCTGCCGTCCATACAAACCTTATAATCTGTCAAAAGGAGAAAGAAAATAACCAAAAATTTTAACAAGCAATTAACCATATTCATCTATAAAAAAAAAATTAATGAAGAAGGGAAGAAATATCGTATGTGTGATAAGTGCATATATATGCTTTAATAATTAAATAAAGATTTAGATGACGAAGAAATATAAAATGATTTTCAAAAGTCATAAATAGTGTTAATGTTGATAAATTATTAGATGCCATTCAAGATGAATGGATATTTATGAAACAAAATGAGATTTAAAAAATTATTTAGTTATCACAAAGTTATAAGAAAGTTAGTTGCAAGTAGGTTTTAAGACCAAAATTGACTCACGCAAGGTCAGATAAGTGGCAAAAGTATTTATTTAGAAAGATAATATTGACTAACAATTTTTATTTTTTTTGGGTATACAGACTCTAATTATCTTTTTTGACTAGTCATTTGATATTTGTATAAGTTTTAACTTTTTGAACCGGATATAAGACTAATTTCGAGTCGAGACTTAATCACAGTAAAGCTTATTGCTCCTCTTCAAAGATATATTTAATGGGAATCGAATCCAAATTCTCTTCTTACTTACTTAGTCTGTGTTGCCAATTAAGTTAGACCCATTGAATCATAACTAGACATTTTTAACCAGTCCCTAAGAAAGATTCTTTCAACATTATTATGGTACTTGTGGATTATGATATGGAGTTACACCAAATGTATGAGAAAATTATTTTTTAAATAAAACTTAGTGTAGTAAATATATATACTGCAAACGTGTTATATGATGGCAGAGAGTGATCAACCAATTGGCCTTTCATTTATGAAACTAAACCCAGATCCCACCATCTATGTGAAATACGATTTATATATGAACATATTGTGCATGTCTCTTCAACTTCAAGTCAATGCCAGGTTATATAGGTTAATTCTTTTATATATTCTTCTTTCTTTGTCGATAACTTTGACATAAATGGCATTCAATAGACGAGCTAGAATTGTACAAGTGATCATCAAGTCGTGATCCCAACCAGTAGGCTTATTTTTTCTAGGAGCTTTTAAATTCTAATTTATAAATTTGAAGCCAAAAAACGCACGCCAGCTTTTCCGTCCAATATTCATATAGACAGCAACAGCTTACGACATTATTGCACAAATAAAAGCTATATATACAAGTAAACGAGTGCGGTCAATCCCGTGAATGAGAAAATTGTAGTATCGTGACTAGAGCCAGCCGGGTACTCTTAGTAGTCTTTTTGATAACTAAATCAAATTTAAAATTCGTAGATTTAAATATTAAACTTTAGAAAGTACTCGCATTATTGTTTAAAAACAATTTTTTAACCGGATAATATAATTCAGTTGGCACATAGGAGTTAAGCATGTGAGGTTAGAACATGTGTTCGATTAGTCTCAGTATCATCTTTGGAAAGAATTTAAAAGCAGAGCCACGTTGGGGCAGGGAGGACCTTGACCCATTCTAAAATTTGAAAATTAGCCATATTTAAATAACCGTAACTAATTTGCAAGCTGATTTTCAAATATTAATCCAATTTTAGACATAGCTAAATTATCGTAGCTAGGTTTGGTATGAATTAATTTTTTTTTTGCCTTGGCTGGGTTGCTATGCAGGCTCCACTGTGGGGTTTAAAGCTTTATCCTGGAATCATCTAGAACAAGATTGCTTTCCGTGAAGGATATTTATGATTTATATAAAAAAAAAACAATTTTTTAAGTGTAATCTTAAAATTAGAAATGTTTTCCTCATACGTAACCCATGCATAAAGGAGCAATAGCCGCCGCACGGAGTAGAAGCCAACGCAAAGAGCCAGATAAGTAATAGGTTACAGGAGTATGCATGGTATTATAGAATAAAGGACTCAAGTAGACCCCCTCAATCCCTCATCATAACTTTGACAATTTTTGCCCGCACGTTCAGTTCCAAAAGCACCAAAATCGCAAATCAGAACTAAAGCTTCACGTGTGTGTTAGTTGCTTGCTTCTACTACTCACTACACCTCCTATATATATAGATAATAGACTCCTATTATTAAGCATAAAATTTCGCGCTATCACATATATACCTTCACCAAGAGAAAGTTGAATGAAAAGCAAAGTTGAATAAACCTGTATTAATACGTTCTTGTTTTTTCTAATCTTTGTGTGTTGTATTTTGATATATATAATCTTTAATGTACCGAGATAAAGAAATTTACCTAACACGATAGTAAAGATTAACAGAAATTAGCTAGACACGTAAGATCGTAGTGTTGCAATCTGGTTTCGTGTTTAATCCATATTCTGATAGTCAAAAAAAATGACAAGGGAATGCTTTTCAATATAATTAGCTAATTAATTAATCTAATTTTATAATTTTATGCCTACAATTTTATTTTGTATATTGTATTACTTTGCATAACCAATAGGGCGGAGACTTTAAACCTAAAAGTCACGGTTTGCGGTGGAACAAGTTGTGGGCATCACCCATTAATTGAGGGAACCTGATCTAAAGAATTTGGAAAAGGGAGAGACCTCATTTGTAAGAGGGGGCAGT